TGGCTGAGATTGACTTTTAAAATGTTCAACGGCAACCTGAATGACTGAATCCTAAGTTAACCATGTTTTTATTAATTACTTGAGAAGTGAAACAAGTTTGTTTGTTTTTTTCCTTTTGGTTAAATTTTAACTTTAAAATTTCCAAAGAGAAACTAGTTTTTCTATTTCTTATTTTAACTTTGTACTATTTTGCTTTCAGTTATGACCACACTTTACATTTTTAGGAAGATGCTTGGTTCATACTTTCATTCCATATCCCATTTAATTTGGCATATTGCTTTTCTATTTATATTTAAAAATGCTCTTCTGTACATTTTGGGGGTATGTCTCTGGCTCAAATATTATTTAGTGGATTTTAAGTTTTTTCCCCTATTTTCTGTGTTATTGAGCATTTTATTTTGTTATTTCTAATTTTATGATTTACTCTCTGGGTATATGGAGTATAGACTTATGACTTATTTATATTGTGTGGCCCAGAACATGATAATTTTTGTTTAAAATATACTTGGGCAGCCCTGGTCAGTGTGGCTCAGTTGGTTGAGCATCGTCCCATGCCCCAAGAAGTCACCGTTTTGATTCTCAGTCAGGGCACATGCCAGGGTTGCAGGCTCGATCCGCAGTAGGGGGCGTGCAGGGGGCAGCCGATCAATGTTTCTTTCTCCCCTTCCTCTCTCTCTAAAAATCAGTAAAAACATATCTAAAAAATACAAATATACTTGGTTAAAAAAAGCATATTTGCTCATATTACCATGTAGTTTTTTAATCTTCACCCGAGGATATATATATTTTTTATTGATTTTAGAGAGAGAGAGAGAGGGAGAGAGAGAGACATCAATGTGATCAATGTGAGATAGAAACATCAATGGGTTCCCTCCTGTATGTGCCCTGACCAGGATCAAACCTGTAACCTGGGTATGTGCAGAATGGGAATTGAATCCTAAACCTATTGGTTTAGGGGACGACACTCCAACCGAGCCCCTAGCCAGGACACCAAAACGTTCTTTATACATATGTTAAGTCTGTCGTATTAATTTTGTGTAACTGTATATCACATGGATTAACTAAATTCTACTTATAAACTGTTGATATTCCCAATTATGTGCTGCACTTCTGCCCATTTTTCCTATTTATGTACTTTTTGCCAAATCTAGAAGTTTTAGATGGTCAAGTTCTTTCTTCTACTGCTTTTGTTGTGAAATCTACTTTAACATGGGAAAAATCCGACATCAGTGTTGTTATTTTTACTAGGAACAAGTTTGAGATTTGACCCAAAAGAAAATGCAACTGATGTATTCTGCAAATAAAAAAGGTAGTTGTGCACCCCAGTAAGCCCAGGCTGCCACCGTGGTACCTGGCTGAGTCACAGCGAGTGAGGGCTTAGAGGACAACCTGGCAATGACACTGCTCCTGCAGTCGGTGTACATCCATACATGCTCTGGTGCATCATGTTAAAACCTCGTGACTTACTAAGGCAAAACACTGTATACACCACCAGGAGAAATGAAGCATGTAGTGTATTGATGGTATAATTCCACTTTAATACTATGGGTGGGCCCATCTGTTTTTATAATTACATTTGCTATTGAGTTCAACATGATTATTTGTCAATACTGTCAAATATTAGAATAGTTCCCTTTCTCTCAGCTACCCAGGGACGACAGATGGTTTATCTCCCAATTCTTTTCGATGAATGAAATTTATCTCGGGAATAATAAACTCCCAAGTTTGTTCTAAACATGAAAAAAAAGTGAAGTGAGGATCTGGACTGACTTATCTTTAGAGAAAGGGCAGTAAGCAAATAATACTTGTCCTCCAAGTGGTCAAAGGGCAGGACAGTGTGAGTTCCAGGTTGGTTCACATTCCAGGCCCTTCTCCTCCTTCCTGTTTTTGCCCCATCTTTACTTAGGATAATTATGGCAATTTTACTGTCAGGCTGAGTTCCCCTGGAGTTGCTCAACAGCCAGTGTTTGGCCTGAACCTGGCGGTTTTCTGTGTAGGAAAGTCTAATCTCCTAAATATATTTATTATTATTGTTGAGCTTTTAAAAATAAAACATTATCTTTGGATGAAGTGTCGTGCTTTCCATGTGTTACCACTGTTGACGTAAGAACTGCCAAACCTGTAGATAATTTTTACAGGAGTTTATTTGAGTCAAAACTGACAATGTGCAAGGAAGAAAGCTGTCAAATGCTCTGGAGTAGAACAGTTTTGTTGTTTCTTTTTTTTTTTTAATCCTCACCCGAGGACATTTTTTGATATTTTGTTCAGATAGAGTGGGAGGGAGAGAGAGAGAAACATCAACGTGAAAGGGACACATTGAGTCATCGCCACCCGCACGACCCAACCAGGGCCGGGGACAAACTGCAATTGAGATACGTGCCCTTAGCGGGAACCGAACCCGGGTCTCTCCAGACCGCAGGCCGACGCTCTAACCACTGAGCCAAACCGGCCAGGGCTGTCGTTTCTTTTATGCATTTGAAAGTCAGGAGGGAACAGAAGGGAGATTCCATGATGGAGCAAGACCTGGACTGGGTTACAAGAGTGTTAAACTCTTGAGGGCAGGGAAGGAGGGGCCCGAAGGGGCATTTCAAAGGTGTGTTAATCTAGGTTCACAGAAACAATGGACAGGGCCTGCTTAAGGCAAAGAAGCTTTTTAGTTAGGAATTTATGGTCAGGTCACCCTGTGAGGTTGCTTTTTATAGGACCCCACACCCACCTTTTTTTTGTCCACACCACTTAATACTAGTCCTGGTATCTTTTCCATAGTTATAGTTGAAATCGTATTATTTAGAAATGCAGTCCAGAAAAACAAAATGATTAATAGCAATAATAGCTACACTTTTTGAGTACTTAGCTCTGTTCCAGAAATTGTTTCACAAACATAATTCACAGTGTTTTCACCTTTTACAGTGAAGGAAACTTTGGTTTTGTGAGTCCCTTTTCTAAGAGGCACACGACTAAAGAAAAGCAAAGCCAGGATCTGCACCCCAGTCTTTCTGGCTTTAGAGACTGTGCATATAACTGCTGATCTATACAAAGAATAGCAGGTCAAGTCCACCCCAAGTATCAAGCATCTAAAATAGAAATGTTATTTCTCATAGTCCACTTGGTCTAGTTTTTACCGCTTTTTAGATTTAAGTGAAGAGCAATGTTTTAAAGCCCCTTGAATAAATGAAAATCCTCTTTGTTTAGCTTCTCTGAATGAAGCGAGGTGCTAAGTGGGGAATCTCACAATGACCATTCTTGCTCTTTGAGAAGGTCAGGTCGCAGCAGAACTGCAGCTGTTGCCATCTGTGCTGTACCTGACGTGCAGGGAGCGGTCGGAGGGTTCTTACCGTTCACACAGGGCCATTTGGGAGAGCCCCTCGGGACAGGCAGCCTGTGAGCTTGTAATGAGGGAGGCCCGGGGACAGAGCTGGATGCTGAGAGGTCCCTGGGGATGGGGTGGTCCGTGCAGGGGGAATGGCAAGTACAAATGCCCTCAGGCGAGAGCCCATTTGCTTCTTCAAAGAGCAGTAAAGAGGCTGCTATGCAGGAGGTCAGGTGCCGGGTTTGGAGGAAGGGGAAGGGGAGCACGGCCGGTACTGTCTAGTCTGGGCTTTTACTGAGGAAGATGGAGGACCTGAAGGGTATTGCAGCGGAGAGCCACGTTTTAACTCGGGCTTTTCAAGAACCGCCCTGGCCTGCTGTACCAGGGTGACGGGAGGGAGACCGGTCAGGATGGAGCTGGAGGCGTCGGGTAAGAGCTGATGGTGGCCTGGCCGTCGCGGGGGATGTAGACGTGGCAAGGCGGTGGGGTTTTCATACGATCTGCTGAAGGGATGAGACGTGGGGCGTGAGAGAGCCCAGGACGGCGTCCAGGTCTGCAGCCTGAGCACCTGGAAGGAGCCGCCACTGACTGAGTGGGAGGACCAGGCGAGGGATGGGCTGCTGGGCGGTGGCTGGGGGGCGTGTCTCAGACCTACTGAGAGATGCCCACCGGTCTTCCAGGTGGAGACGTGGATCCGGCAGCTGAACTCCTGGGTTCGGGCAGCTGAGAGGCTGCGATCTGGTGAACACCAGGGAGAACCTGCAAAAGCTTAAAAAATGGGGCTGGGGTGGCGATTAAATGACTCTCTTGAAAAAGCTTTAAGGCATTTTAATTATCATCACTGTTTCTGTATCACTTGTAAAGGTCTGTGATGAGTGTAAAAATATGGGCAACATTACGCAGAGGCAGCGGCTAGAACTAGATCAATGGTTTCCGCAGCGTGGGCTCCAGGCCAACCACCATCAGCCCCACCTGTGGGCTTGTGCGAGCCCCACGGACCTACTGAACCACAACTTGAAGGGGCCCAGGAAACCATTTCGACAAGTTTTCCAGGAGGTTTTATGTGCATTAAAACTGAGTCAGCTAGATAATAACAAGTTTAGTATTTCCAGGTTTCAATCATTAAAAAAAAAAAAAGAAAGAACAACTTTTTTCTATGAGTAAAATGTCTTTATTGTTTCAAGCATAAAAAAGAGTAAACAAAACCAGTATGATATTTCATTTCTTACTTAGTCTTCCCAATGAGGTTATAAAAATATAGTGCCACTTGGTCTGTATAAACTCTTGAAAATATCTAGAAGTTCACACTGATATCATATAAAAAGGCACTTAACACGAGATAATAAAAACACCTCACTGATACAATTGCAATTGCTTTCAGAAAAATTTCTAAACACAGAGTCCTACATAAACAGGACTTCACTTTTTCTTGTTTCCCAAAACATAGTGTTTCCCCCATGTTTCCCTACAGACGCCATAAATGCAGACCACCTTCTGTCCCTGATACGGGTTAACAGAAAAGCAAGCTCATATTCATGTTTTTCTTCCATGTAATCTCTTATTTTGTTTAAGATGAAACATAATTCTTGACTTGTAACCAAGATCTTTTAGTATGCCTGGTTCATTTTCATTTCATTTCAAATCAAAATTCATTAAAAAATAGGAAGATGATGATGTGAATTTTTTTTTTTTTTTTTGGTATCCATTACTGAGCTGCCAAAATCACCCTCTGCAACATCTCTGAAGCGCGTGAACACAGATGTGTGTAGTTGTAAGTACTGTTGCTGCATCCTTCTGGCTTTTGAGCAGAATGAAATCACAATAACGTAATCTTTGCAAACTGGGATCATGGCTTAGAAGACAACTCAAAATCATCTAGTGCATTCATTGATGAAAGAAAAAACAGTGTGCTTTGCATACTTTTAACTTCATTTTCTTTCAGGTTGGTCAAAGAGAAACAATATACACCACATGTTAAAGAAAAGCCCATTGACCTATGTTGCACATGTACTGTTGCTAAAGTAAGTGTACTTGTCTTGGAAATTTTTATAAGGTCATCTTTTCAAGGCATTGGTAAGAAAGGGTAAATGTTTTCTTTGAACTGAAAGAATCACAAAACAGATCATTAACTCATTCTCTGCATACAGGATGCTATTTTAGAGGTAAGTGAATTATTTCACTCCAAGGGTGTTCACTAAAAAAAATACATTCATTGCTTTAAGGAATTGTGTGAACATGGTTAATCTGAAATGATTTAACAATGCAATCCAGAGATTTAGTTACTTTCTTAGTGAAAACTGACATTTAAAATAGTATGGGGAAAATATAGAGCCGCTTGAGTGCTTATCACTTTATTATTGCAATCATAAATGGTAATGATTTGAATTAGTCCTTGACATTGATTTGTGTGTTTAAGTTCATCCTTAGTTATGCCTTTTCTGCCTTTTATTCTGTTGCTCGCCCTTTTGAGAAATGTCACGATATTGGCGCACGGTTGTGTTACTCGGAGCCTCCCGCACTGCCTTCCTGTGCGTGTACACGTGTGCGCCTTGGTCGTCCTCTGCTCACGCTTTTCCACTTAGCTTTTCTGTTGGATGGCGCTGCAAAGCTTCTGCTGATTTTCAAGGCAGTCTTTCAGCTTATCCTCTGTCAAAGTCAGTCGCTGCTCCAAGATGGAAACAGTCTGCACAAAGGAGGACAGAACAATCAGTGGTCAGTGAGCTGCACGCTGACGACACTCTGCGGGGCATCCGTTTTGGAACTGGAATGCCCACCCTTTCGCCTGCAAGTTGGTTCAAACACGGGCCCCAGAACCTGCTCTGCTTCGGGGCCCGACCCCAGGGCAAAGCACTGTCAAGCAGTGTGAAGTAAAGATACAACAAAACTGGAATGGAAACCGGCCCGTGTAGACAGTTGCTGTCTGAGCTTCCGAAGCCCCAGTGCAGGAGAGAGGCCGCCGCGGCAATCTCAGCGGGGCCGTGCGCCACGTGGGCGGCGAGGGGCGGGTGCGGCAGAATGTCACCTGCCCAGCCCAGGCGCTCCTTCGTACCGCCACCGGGCCTTCCGTCCGTCCGTCTGCGACAGATCATACACACACCACCATGACGGCTGGCTACTACTGTACCTTGAAGATATCAGGATTGCCCCAGTTTGCAGGCCCAAAAGATGAGGACGGCACTTCAAAGGGCCGTGAGGGAGGCTGAATGAAGTAATCCACGGACAAGGCTTCAGCTAGGGCCTGGCACACAGGGTGTGGTGAATCTGAGCTGGTCTAACCCTTTCGGCTAATAAATAAGTGTATGACTACACAACACACACACTCACACGACCACTCTTTTTGTTGTTGTTAATCCTTACCCGAGGATATATTTTTCCCATTGATTTTTTAGAGTAGAAGGGAGGGAGGGGGAGAGGGAGAGAGACATCGATGTGAGAGGGACACATGGATTGGGTGCGTCCCACAGGTATGTGCCCTTGACCGGAATTGTATCCGAGACCCTTCAGCCTGCGGGTCGACACTCTCACCGTGGAGCCAAACCAGCCTGGGCCATATGACTACTCTTAAATTTGAGAAATCTAAGTTTTTTGTGATGTTGACTTCATCTTCAGTCTTTTATATCTTAAAAAAAAACACTTTTATTATAAAATAAAACAGATTCAGGAAGCTGCATAGAACACGTCACAATGAATTCTCATGAGAAAACACTCTTATGATCAGCACCCAGGGCAATACTGCCAGCCACCCACAGTGCCTCCCCATTCTGTCAGCATGACCACTCCTGGCCTCCCGCATCACGGCTACTATCTGCACCATGACAGTCATCACTTTCTTGTATTTCTTTATCGTTCTACCTCTCTGGCGTACATCCCCAGATGTCTTGCCCATTTTCAAGAGTTGATATGCCATTTAAAGTCTTTTTTTTTAATTCCTCAAAGATATTTTTTTGCATTTATCATCAGATAGAGTGGGGGGAAGGAAGAGAGAGAGACAGAGAAATATCGATGTGATAGAGCCACATCGACTAGTTGCCTCCATGTCACATGACCCAACCAGGGCTGGGTACGAACTGGAACCAAGGTACGTGCCCTTGACTGGAATCGAACCCATGACTTATTGGTCCGCAGGCCGACGCTCTAACCGCTGAGCCAGACCGGCCAGGGCTAACGTCTTTTTAAATTGATAGGCTCCTATCCCTTCCTTTTCTTTATTTTGTCTGCATTCAGGCTCAGGCTGTTTGAATGCAGAGTTCCCTCCGGTCTGGACTTCAGAACCAGCACACTCGGGGACAGAGCAGTCTGCTCTCCTACTCTCCTTATCTTGTCGATTGGCAGCTGGATTCAAAGACTGATGAGACTTAGGATAGATCCCTTGGTAACACTATAAGTGATGGTCTGTTCTTTCACATGTTTGGTCATTTCTATTTTCATGATGTTAGTAACCACTCAATGCCAAGATCTATTAATTCCTGGGAACTGTAAATGATGATATTCTAATTCCATCATTAAAATATATTAGAATAATTTATAAATAAGAGATATCTTATTTATTGTCTAGTCACCCATGGGAGAGTTCACAGGGGAAAGGCAGTATAAACGCTTGGTTATTTAAGGCAGCAAGTTTCAAGGTAAAGAATTAGTGCCCTACCATCCTCTGAAAGTCACCAACTTTCAAAAATGTCATTATTTAATACTTTTTGCTTTCCTTTTTGATAGTGTAGATCATGACAAATTAAAAGTAATAGAGATTCTGGTAATATATTCTGCCATTTCTTAAGTGACTACTATGGGTCAAGCATTTTGCCAGGTATTTTACATATAGTATCAAAATTCCACATGCTAAAGCTGTCGAGAATGTCATCAACACCTTTAACACTGGTTGGCTCCATTTATCTATTATCTAAAACATACTTTCATTTTAATTTATTTCTAATTATAGGTTAGTAACGACAGTTATTACACTGCAGCTGAGTTGGAGGCTCGGGCATCTGTAATCAAGGGGAATCAGAACACATTCATTTCACTGGGTCCTGGCTCACAGAGTTGCTGTTTCCATTTTGCAAGTGTGCTGTGGCTGCTTCCAACCACTTTCGTACATAAAAGCCAGCCAGCTATTCAAAATTAAAGATAAAAAAAATCATAGACACGTTCAATAAAGCTGAAAGTGACCGTTTATTCGTGAGCAGGTAAAGGAGGAGAGACGGGCCATGAAGCCGGAGAGTGAGAATGGAAGACGCGGGGAGAGGCCCACGAGGACCCAGCGTCGTGGGAAGAGTAGCTGAGGCAGGCGTGGCAGCTGGACCACAGGCCCCCCCGCTGAAGTTTCCACCCTGTGCCTAGTGCCCCGAAGCCCTGCTGCAACCCAAAACCACGTGGGGGGATCGAAGGACGATGCCAGCGCCGCATCCCCGACCAACGTGAATGAATCCCCGGAGGGGAGAAGGGGCATCTGAGAGCTTTCCAACTGCCCAGGTGGTTACAACGAGCAACCGGTGTCGAGAGCAGAATTAGATGATTTCTATGCAAGATCTATTTCGACGTGAAATATTCATTCTGGAAAAGTAACTAACGTCTCTCCAGGTCATATAGCCTCCCTTTCTGTATAACTGTGACAGCGTCGGCTCTCACAGATATTGGTATTCTCAGTCTATGTATAAAAGAGGAACAGCAGAAAACTTCTTCAGAAGAAACAGTGAATCAGCAAAGCTGGGAGAGAAACCTTTGGTGTATTGATTTCAACACACCACTTCCCCTCAATGACATCTACATCTCCTGACCAGAGTCGGAAGACCTTTGGTATATTAACATCCATGGTATTCCTTCTTGGCAAAGGTAAACTGGCATCAAAGGACTAGGTAAGATTCTACAATGGGAATGCAAAACCCATCCCCTCCAGAAGAACACAGCATCAACGTAAGAAGCTTTGGAACGAGGGAAGTTATGTACTGGATAGCAAGAATATCTTCAGCGTGAAGAACAATAAACTCTGCCAACATTTCATTCTAACCAGAAATGGTTAATCCCAATCCATTTGTCTTATGGCCCAAAATATGTTGTTGAAAATGCTCTAATCTGAATGCATTAAAAATTCTTAGGGTAAAACAGTATTGCCCACAATCAAATACATTTATAGCATGGAGGGCTGCCACCATTATTCTTCATAGTCTCCACTGCTCCCTTCTGGCCCCTGGATGCAAGATATAGCAGTGTGTGTGTGTGTGGGGGGGGGGGGGGAGGCAGGGCTCTGACCTTATCTCCACAGGATCTTGCTAGAGCAGTTCAACAGAGCATGCCCTGCTATCCTGACTGCCACTCTGCACTTGCCTTTCTAAGAAACATTTCCCCCTGCTCTGCCAGTTCTGTAACCTACTGTACCCAAGACTGTTGTGCACATCTTACCCCCAGTGCAAGGCCTGCCAACTCACCTGTGTCAAAACACTGAGCTGCTCCATGATGTGCTCTAAAGCTTCCGTCACGGCGAGTGGTATGCTTCTCTGACCCTCAGAAGGGAGGTCGCTCATGTCTTCTGCTTTCTTTTTCAAGGTGGTTGGTGCACATTCCGATGGCATTAAAGAAGGATTCGAGAAATACTTGCACATCTCTTCACCCTTGTCTGGAAGAGTTCTAAATATAGTTTCCGTTGTCTTTGACATCATAGAAAGGATAGAAAGCGTTCATTATATTTTCCAAACTTTAACATGACAATATATAAGTTTTCAATATTCTCTTTCTAAAGGCCCAGCTTTCCTTTAATTGTTTTTCCTCAGCTATGACAAAGTATGGGAATTACAATTGTAACAAGGAAATAAAGCTAACAATAAAAACAAAAGTTCACAAATTTCCTTGATTTTTTTTTCAATGAACTGCACTTTGCATGTATCTTCTTGGGGGATTAGCTGTTCCACCACTAAAAGATTATTAGATACATTCTAATTCTTAATTGAAAAACAAATACCACATTCATTATTTTAAAAGTGGAAAATAACAAGTGTTGGTGAGAATGCGGAGAAACGGGAACCCTCATGCATTGCTGGTGGGAATACAAAATGCCACAGCTCCTGTAAAAACAGTTTCACTGTTCTTCAAAACGTCAAACACAATTACCATACTATCTAGTAATTCCGCTCCTAAGTATATATCTGAAATAATTGAAGACAGGAACTTGAACAGAGACTTGTACAGCAATGTTAATGGTAATATTATTCAAAACAGCCCAAAGATGGAAACAATCCAATGTCCATCAACAGATAAATGTATAAACAATGGACTACTACTTAGCCATAAACATAAATGGAATTCTGATACATGCCACAACATGAATGAATCTTGAAAACATTATCCTAAGTGAAGTGAGCCAGACACAGAAGAAAATACTGTATAATTCTACATACATGTGGTACCTAGAATAGGCAAATTCAGAGACAGAAAGCAGAGTAGAGGTTACTAGGAGCTGGGAAGAGGGAAATGCGGGGATATGTACCTATTGCTGAACGGGTGTAGGGTTTCTGTTTGGAATGACCAAAAAGTTCTTAAAATAGATACTGGGAATGGTTACAAAACATTGTGAATACTTATTTAACGCCAGTGAAGTACATTTAGAAGTGGTTAAAATGCTAAGTTTTATGCTATGTATGTTTTACCACAATAAAATAAAAACACACACAAAAAAACCTCTCAAAATATATGAGTGATCAATCTGAAAATATAATTAAGAAACAATTCCACTTACAATAGCATCAAAAAGAATAGAGTACTTAGAAATAAATTTCATAAAAGTGCAAGACTTGTACACTGAAAACTACAAACCATGGTTGAAAGAAACTGAAGAACTAAGTAAATGGAAAGACATCCCTTATACCATGTTCATGAACCACAGATTTAGTATTGTTAGCATGGCAGTACTACCCAAATTAATACAGATTCAATCCAATCCCTCTCAGAACCCAGCTGCCATTTTCAAAGAAACTGACAAGCTGATCTTAAAATTCATACGGAAATGCAAGGAATTCAGAATAGCCAAGATAGTATTTAAGAACTAAGTTGGAGAACTCACATTTCCTAATTTCAAAACTTACTACAAACTACAGTAGTCAGGACAGCGTGGCACTGTCATAAAAACAGACACACAGCCTGGCCGCGTGGCTCAGTAAAGGAGGAGGGACATGACCATGGCCATGAGCACTACAGAGCTCACTGTGTGCACTTGGCCTGGGTCAAGTGCTGTACCCATCTCAACTGGTCTAATCCTCACAGTAATCCCCCCAGGCAGGTTCGACTGCTACTCCCCCTTTATAAATGAGGAAACTGGGATACAGATTAAATCACTTGTGCGAGGCCACACGGGCAGGAAAGACGTAGAGACGACCAGTCATAAATCTAGGAGCTGCCAGGACGCCGGCTACTGTGACTTTGGCATCAGAGCCGCTGTACCCCATGACCCTTCCAGCCATTTCTTAGGAAAATCAAAACTTGCAAGAATCTTACTAATTCACCATTTCTTGAAAATAATAAAAAAACAAAGTCAAAATCCACCATTCGGAATTCAAGCTTATTTTTAAAAGATGGATAAAGTATGTCTTAGTACTCTACGTAGCTGTGTGTTATCCACTCAGGGTCTCCTCGTTCGTTCACTTAGCAGATGTTTCTGGAGCCCAGCTGTGTGCCTGGCCCTGTTCTAAGTGGTGAGGACCTAGCAGTGGGCAGCTCGATCCCAGACCTGGCTCCCCCGAAGTCCAGGGTCCCTTCAGTCATGTGACAACTTATCTTTTCTTCCTCAGAGATTTATTAACTTATATTTTTGTTTAATTGTCTAGCAGCTATATTTATCTCTAAACACTGTCCTGGTCTCTGAGCAGTTACGCTCTGTTCCCCCAAGTTTTCCACATTTGTGATGTGCCTGAAAATGCTAGAGCGTGAACCTAAAACATCCCAGTGAGGATGCCTTCTCGGGAGATGAAGCACCCATGAAAATTCACACCCCCAAAGTAATCCCACTTCCATCCCTTGAATTACTCAGTGTGAGAAGGAAAAGCTAAAATTGTCCTTAAGATGTCCAGAAGCAAAATTTTTATCAACCACAGATACTGAAAAAAATAAGTCACCATAAAGGATTTTCGATGCTTCTCATCAGACACACCAGAAGCATCTATGACCTCTGACTATTCCTTCTCTGAGCTAAGGGAAGGGGGACGATAACATGCTGCCCTCGCCTACCTGGGTGGGTTCTGGCTACTGGCTGGGCAAAGGCTGGAATGAAAGCAGGCTTACGTGGAGTGTGGATATGCAAAGGGTTCGCCAAGAAGGCCTGTCTCACAGTCAGTCTGCACTCCAGACCCCTGGCAGCCACCTGACAGGACAATGCCAACATGGTCATGCATACCCATCCCCACCCCAAACAAAAACTCCTGCTCAAAGGGCAGACTTTGTATTCCTTTTTTTTTTTTAACATTGCTTCTTTTTTAAAAAAATTGTTTTTTCTTTATTGATTGGAGAGAGAGAGGATTGGAGAGTGATAGAAACATTGATGAGAGAGAATATCAGTTGGCTTCCTCCTGCACGCCCCCCACTGGGGATCGGGCCCACAACCTGGACATGTGCCCTGACCGGGAATCGAACCAGCGACCTCTTGGTGCCTGGGTCAGTGCTCAATGACTGAGTCACATGGTTTCTTTTCTACCTGCAAAGGCCTTCTCTGCCTTCCTAGCATGACCACATCCTCTCTGATCTCTAAATTTCAGCTGAATTGTCGCATCTCCAGAAAAGTAGTCTCGACCACCCTCCTGAAGCCGAACCTCCCCTCTGCTGACATCCGGACGCTCCTGCCATAACTGATCAGTTTGTGTTTACATAGTTGCTTCTTGTCTTGCTGTCTGTCTCCTGCACTAGACTGTGCTATGCCCACTCCTGTCATCACTGCAACCCCTGGACTTAGCGGGAACTTGAATATTTAAAAAAATATTAACTCTTATATGCAGATTTTATTGCTGTTTGCACACATGAAAAACAAACTTGATAACCAAGACCGTCTTTTTTGCACAGAGCACAGCATTTCTAAGTGCGTGCACAGGCGGCCGTAAATACCGCCGGTCCTGTGACAGCAGCAGCTCCAGCTGTTCCTGGGGAAAGGCCTGGACCTAACCAACAGGTCAGTCATTGGACTCGGGGGTTCGCAGACAGGTTGGTTAGTGAAGAGAGGGCGACGAGGCAAAGAAAAGATTTAAGATCAATACGCCGTACTAGCAGCCTTCTTGTTGTGACCAGCAACAAATACGTTCATATTTATGACCTGTGGAGATGGCAAACGGCAAAGGGATGGACAGAGAGGAAAAAGGACCAGATCTCCATCGCACGACATCGGCCAACTGGCCCATCTGTCTCTCTGCCTCTCAAAGGTTCTGGAATCTAGACATTAGAGATTCTTTCTCACCAACCAACCCTGCCTCTGCATCCTGTTTGTACAGGGAAGGAGTGAGATGCAGAACCCGGGGAAGTTTCACGCGTTCATTCATAAGAAACACCACCACCACCACGAACAACCGTGGAGGGAAGAGTTCTGAGCTGCGCTAGCCTTCGGCGCCCGGCAGGCGAGGCTTCGGCCGCTCCGCACGGCGAGGTCCTCTCCTTCCCGAAGGCGCCAGCATCCGTCTCCCAGGGGAGCGTGGCCGAGTGCCCACATCGGACGCCGCGTCGACAGTGCGAAACGCGATGTGCGCAGGACCCTGTGCGGTGGAGAGAGAATGAAGGCAGAGCGAGGCTGAGGCCCAGGCGGTGCCTGGCACTAGGACCAGCCGACGAACGGACAAGAAACCAGCAGACAAAGACGGAAAGACTGCGGGGAAGAACAAATGCTTCCGTGGCCCGTGAGGGCAGAAATCACACCGTGCCCCCTCATCTCTTACTTCTACTGCAGACACGAGTACAGCAGGGACAGTTGTTCATTTGATTTATTCAACGAAGGCCTCCGATGGCAGTCATTAAAGCCACAGCAGAGAACAAGTCAGCGGTGGTACCTTCCTTCGTGAAACCCAGTTCCCCAGGGACCCCTTCACCCGCAAAGACGGCAGGGTGGTCACCACACCTCTGCTCTCCCTGGATAAGCCCAAAGTGGCCACATCAGATTTGGCCACAGTGCATGGGCCAGAACTCAGATTTGGGCAATGCAGCCTCACCAAATGCAGGAATGGACCTAAGTGGCTGAGAAGTCCTCATCTCTACAGGTTAAAAAGTGTCACTGACCACATAGACATATAAAATAGGGTGGAAGATACTGAGTTGACCAATGCAGACAACTTTGAGAGTCCTGAGAGCGAGATAGAAAACCTGTCACCTTGTTTAAATGCCACGGTTAATGTTAGTGCATATGTTTTCGCATGTCACTTACACTGGAGAAGGAATTCTTTCAATGTATTGGTAGAAAGTGAAAGTTGTGAAAGCAAATTTTCATTAGGAAATTAACCATTCAACAATGTAATCAAGGTCCACACATCCAAACCATTAGTATTTACATAATTAACGATGGACCATTCAAGATACTGTGGCGCTCAGTTACACAGGAGTTCAAACGTCATATTTATCTCCTTTCTTCCTCTCTTCTCTCCTTCTACCACCCTCCCCATCCTCCCGCTGCCGGGGCTGGCTCATCAGA